AAATTTTTTGGTGGAAAAATTGCTAACTCAGTAACCAGGAAAGCTGAAATTTGAAGGGAATGTTCTCTGTTCAAGCACAACTTAATTATTTCAAATTCAGCCTTGAGGTATGCGTGGTTCTTAAGCACGGGCACTTAAAATCTTGACGAAAAAATTTCTCACTGCACAACAAGGTTACTTTTAAAGAACGACTGTTAAATGGAAATTACACATTTACTTTGCAAATTTTATGGTGATTCATGCTGGTGACGCAAAAGTTAGGTGCAAAGCAATAGCCATTCATACAGTTAATGACCTGAGTAATTCAAGTCCGGCGCGAAAACGCATGTTCGCACGGGCCCGCCTGGTGCGTTCCAGCCTGGGTTTTAACTGCGTTAATGCATGGTTTCAACAATTATCTGGTGTTTGCCGCTATTTATTTAAATGTGAGAAAGTGTGATTGTTTCTTCATATTTCATTTTCAGTGGGCCCCCGAACACGTAGGGTTGGTGAGCGGTATTGTTGCAGCTGGATTTGGCGTCAGCTCATCCATTTTTGCTCCACTTCAAACTATCTACATTAACCCTTCCAGTTACAAGCCTACTGCATTCGGGCAAGTCTGTTTAATTTTATTAGACATGACTGAATTCCGAAGAACTGCTGAACTATTGTTGTCTTCAGGTATTTCGTGGACAGTGATCTCGTTGCTCGTGTTCCATCAGTGTTTTATACATTAGCTATATTCTATGGAATTATGCAGGCTGTTGGACTCGTTGTTATTTGCAATCCTCCAAACCCGGTAAATGCGTAAGAAGATACCATAAATGCAAGAATTTCAGCTACAGTGAATATGCAATCTCTGCCACTGATATTACGGAATTGATCTCGTTGTCTTGTCCCAAATTGTTGGCATTTTAATGTGAAAATTAGAAAATCAGCTAGGTTAGGAAGCTGAGATTTTACGATAAGATTACCTGTCCATTTGCGACTCCAAACACGCAAATTTAGTGTTCAGTTATGCTTATGACTTGCGTACAAGCACGACAAACTTCAAAAAATAAAATTGTTGACGTCTTTCTAACTGAAGAACCAGACGATGTAGGGGACTGTATTTTTGTGTGGATTTTTTCTGTTCATGCGTGGGCTCGCGAGCAGAAAATGAGTTTTCACATGTGCGCACGTTCTTCATGGGGACGCTTTAAAATTCCAATTGCATTTTCCTTTAGTGGTATTCAGACATGTCAAAAAGACGAAATTATATAAGGCACTAAAGTGCAATACCAACGATTCAGCTGATAACCCTATCTCTAAAACGTGGAGAAATTACTAACAAGAATATTTCAAACAAGAGTGCGCGAATCAAGCTGTGGATCACTGAGTTTCCTTATTGATAACGATTTTACTGCTGTACGAAACCAAGCAAAAATACGTGATCGCATCAGCAAACCTAGTTCACCCTATTAATTATGTAGGATTTATCAGAACGCACATCTCTTTTATATCACTGTTTGGATCCTCCATTTGCATGCAGTTGAAGTTTTTGACTGAAACCATCATGACATTGCACTTCACTAATAATTGACACCAGTAACTTTCAGGAGGAGCAGTCGGAAGCACTGCAGGCGCAAATTTCAACTTCAGTCTGGCCATGGTGTGAAAGAGTCGTTGGAACTGAACGCGCTTCGCTTCTTTGTAATTCAAATAGATACCGTTATACGAAACTACAGCTGTTTGTGGAAGAGGTTGTTTACAATGACTGACTACAGAAGGGCAAGGGGCTGACCGCTTTCCTGTTTCTCACTGCAAAAATTTTTTTATAGACTACTCTTGCGTATTTAACACAACATACTGTAAGACAACTTTGCGAGCTTACTGCTAAATGCAGTCATTGGCGATGTGCACCGGACGGGCCCGTGCGATCATGCGTTCTTGCAGTATTTCGTGCTGTTATGTGACTGCTCGGAAATCTGGTAGCTAGGAATTTGCGACATGGTCCTCGAAGTTCGAGAAGTTAATTGTCTACGCGGTACTTGGACAGGGGACATTCCGCTAAAATTCCAGCATTTCAATTTCTCCGATTCTAGACTTAGCAATTTTCCTGCCAAAAAATTTCATGGGTCCGTACATGAGAACCACACGTACCGGGCGCTGAATTTGATGTCTTCAACTTTTACGGGGTTCCCAGCTTTCCTATTTCCCGAGTTAGCCATTTTTCCGCCAGAAAATTTTACAGGGCCGTACGAGAGAACCACGACTGAATCTGATAAATTTTTGTTGTACATGAGCTGGAAACCTTCCCTGAAAATTTCAGCCTCCCAGCTCCCCTGTTCCCAAGTTAGCAATTTTCGCGCCAGGAACCCTCACGGAGCCATAGGCGGGTAACACGCACACCTGGGGGCTGGATTTGAAATCTTTCAGTTCCATATGGACGGGGAACATAACCTCAAAATCTTAGCTTTCTGGCTTTTATTGTCCCCGAGTCAGCGATTTTCCCGCCAAAACTTTCACCCTCGCATACGCGGGGCCCAGGCTTGCGTGCAAGTTGGTACCGTGGGCCTGAAATGACACTTGGCTTGGGAACTCACCAGCAAAATATTGGCGCCGGCGCTTGCTTGGGTGCCGTGTTGAAATATCCGGACAGACAGACAGACAGACACACACACGCACACTGGAGTCGTCGCAATATGCGTTTTCGCATTTGCACATATGTAATAATTGGCCAACGCATGGGCTGCCCGTGCGAAGATACTTTTTTTTGCAGAGTTCCTCGCAGTTTTTGTCGCTACCAGCATCGGTTTTTTCGGCAGATGCTTCTAGCTGAAAGAATTTCAGAGTGGCCGCCAGAACTGTCAGGAAACATCCCCCCAAAAATCCAGTCTTCTAGCTTCTCACGTTCTCGAGTAAGTAACTCACCCGGAAGGAACTTTTCACGGGCCTGTACGTAGGTACCACGCTCACCCGCGGGCAGGGTTTGAACTTGTTAATACCCACTTAGACAGGGAACACCCCCTAAGATTTCAGCTGTCTAGCTTTTCAGAACCTCGAGTTATGAATTTACGCGGGAAAAATTTTGGGGGGCCCGTACGCGGGTACCACGCTTACCCGGGGCCTGGATTTGAGCTCATTAGCACCTGCTTGAACAGGGAACATTCCCCTAAAATTTCAGCTTTCTAGCATCTCGGAGCCCCGAGTTATGAATTTATGCGGGAAAAATTTTGGGGGGCCCGTGCGCGGGTACCACGCTTAGCCAGAGGCTGGATTTGAGCTCATTAGTACCCACTTGGGCGGGGAGCATTCCCATAAAATTCCAGCTCTGTAGCTTTTCTGGTTCGCGAGTTAGCAGCTTACCTGTAAAAAACTTTGGCGGGGTCTTACCTGGGTACTACGCGGGAAAGACCTCCCATTTTGGGGTAGGGGTCCGTACTTGCATGTAGATTAAGTCCCCAAAGTTTCAGCCCCGTAGCTTTTGCCGGTCTCGAGATGA